AATCACATGATCTCGATGACGCAACAGTATCATATATAAAAGACTCTTTAGTGTAGGTTGATGTCGAAGCTATCCAACATTGTGTTTGCAATCCATTGATGTTGAGGCTATGGAGATTTCTAGAAGGGATAAGTAAATAGAAGTATAAATAGATGCGACCAGTCGAGCGGAAAGAGAGTAAAAGTAAAGTCACGTGAAAGAGAAGTTGGGTCAAAGAAAAGTTAGAAAACATAAAGTTAACCATCGTGGGAGTGAATGGCCTAACAGGTGATATGTTAGAGTGAGATTAACAGTTTGAAATAGATAATAATAAGAATTTGTTTCATTAAAGGGTGTTCTAAACTAATTGAACTTGCCTGTGTGGACTTTGACAAAAGGCAGATGATTGTTGGAAGTACGAAGAACAGACGATTATTATAAGTACGTAAAGCAGACAATTATTGAAAGTTCAGGATACAACTGTGGTAACTCATGCGACAGCGTGTATGAATTATACATGGAAAATGTTGTGATAAAAATAGTTCAGATTGTCAACTGAATTCTACAGCAATTGAATTGGCTTAAATAGACTTTTGACAACAAGAACTATATAGTGTTTAAAATACAACTATGATCTCCATAGTGTAAAGAATGTTTGTACGTTTAACTTGTTTCGAATATATATGTTATTTTAAAAACAAGTAAAGTACATGCTGTTTGTTCATTGTCGATTTAATCGCCAACAAGTCACAGACACCTACTGTAGAAGAATCCTTAGCCCAACACACCCATATATTTACATTACTATATATGCTATTCAAAAGTAATTTTCCGACCATATGTATGTAAAAGGTTATTGCTGGTTTGTTTTAGAGCAATGCCATATTGGGCTATCTGCTGTGTCCACTGTGGGGAATGGAACTCCGGATTTTAGCATACAAGTTCATAAATTTACAACTGTCCCACTGGGAGGCAAATGTAAAAGATATTAACAAAAAAGAAAATCCAAAGTGAATATTCAGAACATATAATTTAAATTAAAAGTGTAGATATACAAAATATACAACTCATCCCTAGAATTTGTTTAAGTTTCACTTCTTATTTCCTTTACCCCTCAACAGATTCTCGGGCCTCTATTGGTTTACGGTGGGCCACTATGATGGCTTTGAGGTCTTCTCTGGCCTTGGCAAAATATTTCTATTTATCTCCTAATCTAGCCCACAAGTGGCTCAATTCTTCCTTTTAAGCATTGAAATCTGCTCCAGTTTATGGTAGTTTGTTAGTAACTTGGTAATATGGATAGAAGTTCTACCATTGTCATCCTGTTCCTGGAGTCACTTGGTTAGTATGGCCTTGATAGTTACCAAGGTATAGGTTCCCCCTATTCATCTGGAATGTGATATGTTTTGACTTTGAAGTAGACACTCCCTTGTTCATCTTACAAATTCACAGACAGATGAATGGCAGAGGAGGTGACCTATTAGCTAAGTATCTCTTCTACAGGTTCAACGAGTTGGTAGCGGCAACAGTAGATAGACTGGACCAGGTGACCATTATATCCACCATGCCTAGTGTCATCTGGAAACCTGTCTCATCTCTGCCTTCCTGAGACTTGGTCAACCATAGAGGAAATCCATACTCTGAAAAGGTGCAATTGGGCTTAGGGATATAATGCCCCCATCAGAGGCGTGACAACATCTTGCGGCAACACTGGAACATGTGATAGTATCAACAGTAGAAATGTGGAGAGTTGTTTGGCTGCTTGCAGGATAGGCTCCTCTGGCATAAGCAATGTGATTGGCACTGTGCCCATTAAGATTGAAATATCATTTGCTGAAGAGAGCTGTTATCCCCTGGCAACCTCAGGGCCAACATGACAACATAATCGATGAGCTCTCCCATACCTGATGCATTGGTAAGCAAAAAATCTTCAACCATGGTAAATGTCAGGTCAGCACTAGGAGTTTTAAGTCAACAATCATATTAGTTCCCTTACTAAATAAGAAGTTCTGGGTATCACAAAGATATTTGCTGACTTCATAGTTAAAGGAATTTATTATAGTAAAAATGGCTTCAAGCCAAGGATAATCCCAGCAATGAATAGGCATGGGCAGGATAACCATTGGTAGTTGATATAAAAAGACTGACTGTGGCCAAAAATGCGACCTCAAATACTGAAAGTCCAAATTCCAATACAAAGTTAGGTAAATCTTAATTGGTCAAAAGCTCATCCAAGTGCATTGGATAAAGGGGATCATAACATGTGATTACAATCATGAATTTTGATGCAAGGCATTGGTCAAACACACTGTATTTCCCATAGAAGATGTATCCTGAGAACTTCCCAATCCCCAGGCTTCTGTGTGTCTCCAAATGGCCAACTACTTGTAGTCATGCTGCCATTTATTGTCCCTGCCAGATAACTAGAACACACTATGTACTCTCTGATCAAGCTTCATTCTTCTTTCTACTGTCTGACATGTAGACAGCACCTGGTTTTAGTAGGAAGTAAGTTTCAATGTTGCTTTTCTCCTCCATTGTACAAGAGAAGAATACTCGACTGGACTCTCATCATCATCCATGACTTTGACTTGTTCACTCTTTGCTTCTTGATAAAGCCAGTGCTGAAAAGCTAATCAGTAACATATGACTTTAGCTTATTGGCATGTTCTAAATGGTTTCACACAGCATGTGAATGCTAATTGTGGAGTTCAAGGGATTAACTCATCATAGAAAAAGGTAAGATCCAATCCAGCCAGATCTTAGCATTTTACATGCTTCTGGAGTACACCAGAGCCACACCCAGTCTCCTTATTCAAAATTAGCTTTTCACCATATTGTTATATATTCCCTTCTGTCTCTCAACTTCTTTCCCATCTGTTGACATATGAACTTGTTCATGTCATGGATCACAACTATTCCATGTATACTTGTGGACATACCATAGGTAGTATCAACCATACTTTTGTTTGTTGGCACAATGTGGCTGAAGTAACACTGTATACACCATTAGTTTCAGTTACTTCCCACTCAAGCATAATACTGATTATTGTTCCAGTGGGTATCTCTACAACTTGTCTGCCATAATTACAAACTGAAACTAGAATGTATCTTGTTCTACGATATAATTGTTTGAGTAAGTGTGGTTTGGCTTTCAGCAAGAAAAGTATTTCAAGTGTCACTCAGCCACAGCATTAGCTGATAGTGCAGCCTGAGATTGTGTACCTGGGACTGTAATGGCATCATCTACGTACATTCATGAAGTCCAGTTCTCTTGTTCTTACAGCTACATACCAAGCCATACTTAGTTCTGTAGATGACTCTCTAATCACCACATGAAGAAATGGACAGATATCTGTTTTTTCCCATATCAGTGGACAGAACTGAAGCAGGTTTTGTTAATTTAATTTAGTAGACCCAACTGCATTCACAGCCTGTCTTCTCCCATGAGCTTTTTGCTTAGTCTATTTGACAGAGATTATATATTTCTTTATTAGGTGCATAATACTATTTCAGAGACATCAAATTTTTGATTTAAAATGGTTTATTATCATTTCATTAAATTGCCTTTACTGTAATTAAATGTAAGAAGTACTTTTGGTCTTATCCAAAGAAATTAATGTATCAATGCTTCTCATTTAAACTGAGCATGCCATATAAAGTTTGTATTTAATATGAACAATATTCTGGGTTTCTAGGTTATATATACCATTCACATTAAACATTTACTTATCTCTTTATAAAAGGTATTCCAGTATACAGATTTGTAGTTCACACTTGTTTAAGTAAAATGACAATACATTTATTCTCTTTCAGTTTTGGTACACATCCCGAAATAACTGAAGCAAGAAATAGTACATAAATAAAATTACCTTTACAATAAAAATTAATAGAAGAAATAGATCTTTCTAAAGTTTCTAAACTGGAGGGGGGGCACATAAAAAATCAACTACTTACACTACAAAAAATAGTATAAGCCTACAAGTACATTATTAAAAGTATTATTCTCACGTGAAACTTTACTGATATTTGTGATAAGACTGGGTCAACAACTAAAAATCACAAATAAAACATAATCTCAAATATGAAAAGTTCAAAAATGCTTTGGTGACTTTAATGAGTGTTTATGGAAATCTCCTCTTTATGTGATAGTTTTAGGGAGAGAAATATCATGAATATAACACAACTGTGCATTACCTAGCAATTAATTTACATGTGTTTATATATAAAATATATACACATAAATGGCACTTGATAATTAGTAAGAACAAAGTATTCTTTACAAAGTTGAATAAAAAAAAATTAAGTGAGTAATCTGTGTACAGTACACCTTAACTTCAAAGCCAGAATACAGATAACTTTTATATTGTAAGTGAAAACACAATTACTTTCATAGTGAAACTGGGTTTGATATACTTTAGATAATTTTCTAAGACCAAACTCTTCAGCAAAAGAATAAAAAAGTTAAAATAGTCAGTTACTTATTGAATCTACCTTATCAAATGTTGGATTAAAACTGTGTAGCAAAAAAAACAAAACAAAATTTTGTCTAGTTCAGGAAAAAGACAGACACAAAATACATTCAAATATGATGTTGCTGCATCATTAACTCATATATATATATAATGCACATGTTAACTTAAATATTTAGGTTTCCCCAATTGACAAAGTAAACAATCAATGATCATTATTAAGCTGAGTTTGGTGTTTCAGAAGCTTTTTCATTTGAATTTGAGTGTCAGTAATAACTGTCATTATTTATAACACAAGAGAAACTAAAACTGTTATACTTCTAGTTGTAGTATGTGCATAAATATTATCCAGTGGGAGGTAACTTAAGAGCTACCTTCACTAACTCACTAATAAATCCTATATATATATATATATAACTGAAAAAAATCTTGAACACAAACTATTAGGATTCACATACAAATGTTGTAGAAGTTATTTCTTCTTTCCAAGGTACACAAACATACTGATAAGGTAAACTTGAAAAAATCAAACTTCCAAGTTCAATACCTTTCATAAGGTGTATACTGGAATTCACAAATTGGACTGTGAATTCTCTAAGTTCATGAGCTTGCTTAAAATCTCAACACAAAGTATTTCATCACCTGGATGCACTGTGACCACAGCATATAATCCCATTAAAGTAGAAGTGACTTTAAAAGGTTTGTGAGTATTTGGATGAATAAAAGCTTCCCAAAAATATAGAGAATCACTTTATTAAATAACTAACACAGCTCCACATCTGTGTTAAAATTCTTTTACCTATAAACACAAAATTCTTTTGGTCCATAATTTGTCACGTGAAAAAATTTCAGGTTTGTAATGAAATATTTTCATGTGATAATGCAAGAAATATGAGAAGTGTCATCTTTCTTTGTCACGAGTTTTGTGCATGAGGTCTTCAAAATTTAATTTGATGATAAAGATGTCTCTGTAAGTAGTTAAATGTCAATAACCTTTCAATGCAACAAATGTTTCTTCTGCAACATGGAAGTATTCAGCATTCAAATTCTGATGCAGTTATGGCATTTAGATCCTTCATCAGACCTTCCAAGTTTGCCATTTCTTGATTGAGCTCCTCTGTGCTGCAGGATGACTAGGGGTAAGAAAAGAAATCAAACTGCTAAGGCAACAAGAAATAAAAACTGGTAAAATGAGTAAACCAGATTCTAAAAACAACATGCATTTCTCCTTACAAACTATTAAAATTCTATACTGTAGCTAGTTTAAATTCAATAATAGAATGTTTTTCACATTTTTAAACTGCAACCCTTGAATTTAAAATGACTGAAAATGGGGACGTACAGTTTAAAGAATTCATTACAAAATTAAAGTACCTCCAATACAGTAAATTAGATAATTTTTGGAATGTGATACATGTCATAGATAGAAAAAAATACAAAATACAATATAAATACAAACATTTGAGTTTAATGAGATAAAGCAAGAAATACGGAATTGATGGACTATTTGTTAACAGCAAATAAAAATATCACTGAAATGATTATACCACGGAGAAAAATGTTTATTGTTGATGTTTTTTTTGTCACTACCTTTTACAAAACCAACAAATATGTTCTATAATGCTATTTGAGTTATTACTAATTGGTGTTTCTGAAACAAGTCAAAAACTTATTAATTCTAATTCTTCAAGCCAATGCATCATACATATTTACTACAAGTTGCATTAAGTTTGTTCAGTATTGTAAGTTTAATACATCTACAAATATTATGTCCCACCATCATAACGTTTGACTTTTTATTTTTACACATTTATGTCAAGAAAAATGAAAAAACTTTTTTTACCAATAAATGAATATTTCCAAAATTTTACATAATGTTAAAATAAAATTAAACTTAGTCCAGATAACCTTGTTCATTACAACTGGTGGACATTAGAGAAGACTAGCTACAAATGATTAAATTAGTTTACTTGCAAATGTAGAAACCCTCAATCAGAAAATTTTCATGGTTGGCTACAATAAAAGTACATTTTAATGTAAAGACACATATATATTTTGTTCTTACAGCTACTTCATCTTCTTTCTCAAATCTGGAGGTGAGATCTGGTAGGTTGGGTGTGGCAGTAACTGCAGGATGGGTATTAACTGGTACAGGGTGTGGGGAGGAACTATTAGTCAAGCTGGACACATTTATGTCTCCAACATATCTGGTCTTTTTTAGGGGACTGGCAACTCCTTGTGGACAAACAGCTACAGCAAAAATAATTGTTATCATAATAATAGTAAGATATAAGTAGATTATGAAAATAATATAAAGAATAAAAAAATAAACACATAAATATTAAAGCCATAGCTTGAAGACTGTGTTTTCCAACCTTAGATCATTTGCTTTTTTTTATTCAAAAATTTTAACTTAAAACAAGAGTACTTTTGGTAAGATTTTAGCAGTTGGATATCAACTGTTTTCATTGCTAGAAGCCTACATGATCAACTAAATTAATTAGTAACATTTTCTATATTTATAATTAGATATTAACTACTAACTAGTTTTTGTTTTACATTTTGGCTACTAATTTGTTCTTATCTTCAAGGAAGTCCTGAGATGGACTATTTTCTGTGTTGATAGTGGCTGGGATTCAATTTTGAGTTTTATTGATGGAAGTCTGGTGTGTTATACACTCAAGTGTGGTCTCCTCTATTAGAATTTGAGTCAGCTAACCATTTCAATATTTTCAAGAGAGATAGAGGTATTCAGGTTTTGCTGACTTTTTTAGTTAGGTTGGCTGACTGTGTTATTTGTAAGGTGGATGCAGAAGGCATCATTTATCTTTATTTTCTCATGCACATGTTATTCATATATTACAATTTCAGTGTTATTCAAATTTATTGTATGGTCTTATTCTCTGGAATGATGAGGAGTTATTGCAGAGAGATTGGTATTACTGAGTCTTATATTAAGCTTCTGAATTAAAAGTTTTGTTGGTCCTTTTATTTCTTCAATGTACTGGTATACATGTTCACAGAAGATGTTGTAAAAATGGTGTTTTCTTCTTCACTGGGTCTTTATAGGTTATTTGGTGTGTACCAGTTGTGGTCATACGTATTGTGCTGTGGATTTTGACTATGCTACTGATTTTATGTTGTTTACACATTATCTGTATCTTTTTTAGGGAGATCTCGGACATAGAGGAATACGGCTTTAAGTCTGTTATTTTCTTACTCTTAATTGTTGGTATTCCTAACATCCATTGTTAAGGAGGGTTGTAGTGATATGTTTTCCTTCCATCTTCTTTAGTATTACAAGTCTTCATTCTTGAAACTAGGCAGTCTATGATGCTTAATTAGGTCATTTTTACCCATATATGTGGGTTTCCTGTAACTGCATATACATATATATATATTCACACTATGGTATATGAGTTATATGTGTTGGTAACTATCATGTCAAGGAATGTGAGCTTGTTATCATTTTCTATTTTCATTGTGATTTGTATTATGGGATGTTGTCTGTTCAGGTGGTTCATGAATTCTCCATTCTTATCTTGCTATATTATATGTGTATTATCAACATATCTGAGCCAAATCTTGGGATATATCAAACCTATTCATTAATGTACCAACTCTTGAAACACTGCAAATACTTTGTCAGCAGATTGAAAATGATAGAACTCTTAATAAATGCATCCAATTGAAAATATCTATAAAAACAGAGCTCACAAGGTTAGCATTTTGTTAACCTGTAAATATATATATTTTGAATAAATAAGTAAAATCACATCTGACATCATAAATAAATGCAGAATTATATTCATGCAGTCCACATAAAGTGTATGTTATACTACTACAACTAAATGTAGTTAAGACAAAGTTTATTCATTGTGACTACTTTGTTCAGAAATTGTTTGATCCTACAAATCAAATATGTTTCTAAATCAAAACTACTCAAAAACAATAGGTTTGCTATGTTCCCTTTATTTCAAATAAACAAGTGATTGTACCATGATTTAACCTTAAGAAGTGTAATTCATATAATCTTCTACTATGAATATTTCAGGTTCCAAAAGTGAAAGACACCAGTAAAAACAATACGTCCACATATTTTACCCAGTATGTTGTAGGTTCTACAGCAACTCCATGTATTGTTTCAGTGATAAATCAAATATTTCAGTTTGTGACCAAACAGTATATACTCTTTACCTGCACTAAGAGTATACAGTGTTTTAACTCACAATGTAGTTTAAGCTAATCACTGCAATTTTTCACGAAATGTACCACATCTCAATATTTCAAGCTACAATTTTTGATTAGTCTAAAATACTGTACTTTTATATGTATATCACATTCATGTACATAATTAGCTATCCACAAACTGGTTCAGATATGTGTTGGAAGACATGCATGTGCTGTTGCACTTATGAATCCATCATCACACATTAATTAACCAATGCATACGTGCAGTAATTGATTTCAGCATTTAGCAGTTGGCCTGGTTTCCACAGAAACTGATTTGAATATCAGTTACTGTGTGCACCAAAGCAGATGTAAAAGACACCACACTCCCCCTTGAAGAGTTAAAAATAGTCTAACTTTAATGGTGTCACAAAAGTAAAAGTAATCTTTGAACAAAATAATTAGAAGTAGCCTATTCTACTATAAACATCCATATTCCTCACATTTGGTTTTAGGTGCACAAAGGAAAATAACAATTAGCCCAAATCATCACGTTTATCCTGGCAGTTATCTGATCTAGGGACATTGAAAAACCCTCTACATCAAATAAACATGAAAAACAACTTAGACAAAATCTAGTAAGATCCTATGTGAAAGCAAAGAACAATATATAATAGTATTTAAACCACACTACACTTGCTATATCCAGTGCTGGCACTGCCATTCACCCAATACCAGGGCTCATTAGGCTGGATGGGATACAACAGATATAAAAGTGGTTGAGGTTCAATTTCACGAACAACAACTTTTATATAATTGAATAAGTAGAGTTGTTTAAACATTTGTTTAACAACAAGTTAAAGCTTGGAATGGTCTATTCTTTCATTGGGGTGTGTGTCTATGAGCAAGACTAGTTTCAGAGAATTCCACTCCTCATCAGTGACCCTGGACACTACCACCAACGAAATATCAGACCAAACCAAGCCTTCATACTAGTGAGGTATCGAAAATCAAACTGGTGTATTTACGTGTTTTACACTCACTAAAATTATGTACAAGCTGCCCAGTGTCAGATAACAATACGAAGAATTAAACTGTGACGGATTGCTACAAATTCTTCAAATACCTATAGAATGATAGGTTTCTTTTTAGTGAGTGTAAAACACGTAAATAAACCAGTTTGATTAACAAATTTTATGTTGTGAATTAGATTAAGTAAATGAACTGTAATTATTATAAACTTTTTATTCAAGTCATTTACAAGTCAGAATCATGGTAAGGATTAATAACACATGATACACATTTCACCTTATTTATACATTCATGCTAATTTTTTATGCTGTGTTGGAGCACAACTCCATTACTACACTTCAGGAAGACTGGTAAACATGAACCAGACTATCAGGTGGCATGGCCTGGTGGTTAGGGCACTCGACTCGCAATCTGCGGGTCGCGGGTTCAAATCCCCGTTCTACCAAACATGCTCACCCTCTCAGCTGTGGGGATGTTATAATGTGATGGTCAATCTCACTATTCATTGGTAAAAGAGTAGCCCAAGAGTTGGCGGTGGGTGGTAATAACTAGCTACCTTCCCTCTAGTCTTATACTGCAAAATTAGGGATGGCTAGTGCAGATAGCCTTCGTGTAGCTTTGCATGAAATTCAAACAAACCAAATCAGGTGGAACCTCACAGAGCGGCATAACACAAAGTTCTATTGTCTTATGTGTGAGAATACAAGTCCACTCAGGGAATTATTTATCTGATGAAGATCTGTTTTAGCTAGCAACTCAAAACTTCATCCACAACTTACTACACAGAAGAAGTCCAGGAAATGCCTTTCAAGTATCCATCAACATTTACTACAAAACTCAACCCAAATGCTCAGATAGCACAAATTGCAAAGTCCTTTCAGCATTTTTGTTTGTCAGAATTTCCAGCCATTATCAACAACTACCTCCAACCATCCATTTCCCTAGGATTTTATCTAACAACTTCAGTACTCCTAGCTTAGTATCTAGCAAGTTTTGCATGTTCTGCTTCTCAGAAATTCTGCTATATCTCATAACACAGGTCAAGCAATTATCATTAAATGTTAGACTACTGTCTCGCTACTAACTATCACTCAGTAGGGTTGCAACACCCTTTCTGTTGTTGATCCTTCACCCAACTGTCCTAACTGCAAAATAATTATAATTAAGTGACTATTGCAAGGCCTACTGCAGATACATCCTATTGTTAAACACCACTTGATAACTTGAAAAACAAAGAACATCACTTCCTTTTTAATTATTGATCTTTCAATCAAGTGGCTGTTCTAACCACAAAATAATCAACTAGCAACCACACAACATAATGCATACATTATACCATAAGCATCAACCAAATGACCATCCTAACTGTTTCTATTTTCTCCTTATTAATTGTTCTTTTAAACATGGGTAAGTTTACCTGTTTCACATCACCACCATACTTAAATGGTAACGTAGTTAGGTGCCTACTGTCAACTTCTTTACAGCTATGCAACTGACAGGCTGTATGATCTCAGTGAGACTTTCATCTTCTTCCAAGTATCCAGAGATGTGTGCATCCTTGGGCAATGTCTTTTGCAGAATTACTCAAAGCACATAACTGAGCATCATTGTAATCGAATGATACACAGGGTTTCTTCTTTGCCCATCTAAGCATTGGTCTGACTTTTTTCTTATTTTCTCCAGTCTTTTATACCCAACTCAATTGCCCTTGGCGATATTTGTATCACGATACTTTCACCTAAGTCAATACACCTTCTATCCCGGTACTGTACATAAGAACCTCATTCAGTTAACTTTATCACTTTTTCCAGGCTGACACCATCCCAGTCTCTAACACCGGCACTTAGTGTAGAGGAAGTGTGGGAGAGTGTCAGTGTAGGTAAGTATTACTGGAAATACATTTTCAATTTAGGAAAATGATAACTTCCAAAACATACTTACTTCCACTGACACTTATAGCTAGAATCCCACATTGAGAAGGTGGAGGGGCCAGTGAGGGCATTAACCATACAGAAAGTGTCTGCATAGATCATGGGTGTACCAAGACAAGACTGGTACCCTAGTGGGGGGATTGCAATACATCCAGAACAGGTATGCCCTTCACCCTGAACTTAGTTCATGTATAATGGTGCAGTTGTACATGAGTGATCATCACTACAGGCTAGCCCCAATCATATAGTCGATGTTTCACTACTCATGGTTGGAATTAAGGGGTCTTGGTCACCATATAATACATTGGTAGCTAGGGTAATTGGACTGCAACATTAGGTATAGATATACTTTTGATTGGATCCCAACCTGTAGCCATAGAGTGATGCATTCTGTAAATAATGTTAGAGAAAAGTATTGGGTGAAGTCCACATGATGTCCTCCAGTGGGCAATTCAATTGGGCAGCTAAACACATAGAAATGTAACAAATCTGATGAGATGTGACTCACAGAAAGTTTCTCTCCTGCAAAGATAGTCAAGACTAGGCAATATGGATCAACTTGCAAAACCACCTCATCCAGGTAATCAGGGATAAATGGTGGGAAACTGAAGAATCCCAATGAATAAACAGCTGACTTCTAGCACCTCAAAAGGAGTTAGTGTGAGCCACATAACATCTCAAGGCCCTGAATAGACACAACAAATGATTTGGGTCCATGTGGTCGTAAGGGTGAGATATAGTTGGCAAATGAACTGGTGAGAAGGATTTATCCCCATCCCTGGCTGCCAGAGACTTAGGAAAGAAGGACCTATCTGGGTATAGCAGGACATAAGTAGAGTGATAAAGTGTCCTGTGCACATGCAGTGCAAACAATTCTGACCTACGATGTGCATAGGCCAGCAGCAACAAAAATACACTGTAAGGGAAAGGTGATACATAGTACATGAGGCTAAAGGCTCGAATGGATGTTGAGACAAAGCATTTAATACCACCTTAATATCCCAGTTAGGTAATAGAGATGGCCTTTTGGGATGAAGGATGCAAAACGATTTGAGAATATCATATAGCACTGGAGACTCAAAGAATTTCCAATGTCGAATACTTTAGAATACCAAACAGTGGTTGATAAAGCTGCCTTATATAAGATGATAGTAAATGGAGCTAGATCTTTGTCAAAAAAAGTCAGGTAAAAAAAAATGAGAAATGGTTAGCACATTTGGGTGAAGAGGGTTCAATTTCCACGTGAGACACCACTAGCGATAAGTATGTCATTTTCATTGATAAATGGCCATTGTGGGTTGACAGAAAGATTGAGACAAATACAAGGCCACTTTAGTAGTTAAACCCTGATGTTGTGTGAAGGACCACATAACTTCCATGCATCTAAGTTGAGCTTCAGAAGGTCTGGCTGTTGAATGTCGGATCGAGGTTGCCTAATCAGAGATGGTCAAAGAGGAAGAGGCAGAGGTGGACACTCTTGAAGATACTGAAGAAGATGAAACCATGATTGGGCCAGCCAATCTGGGGCTATCAACAGCACTCACCAAGGAATGGATCAAACCATAGCCAGAACTCTGGGTAACAGGAGAATCAGAGAGAAGGCATAAAGGTGCAATCCCGTCTAGTCTTGACTGAATGCATCTATCGCCAAAGCCCGAGGAAAACCTCGTGATGTAGCATTTATTCAGTCGGGAGAATTTGGTTGGGTCGAAACAGATGATCTGCTATTAAATTCATCACCCCTGGAACATGGCAAACTAGGAGGCTGATATAATGGGAGTGAGCCCAGTGAGAATATCCAAAGGTTGAAAACAAAGGTCTTAAGAATGTGTGTCCCCTTGACAGGAAATGTAAAATACCATTGTGGAGTTGTCGGATGAATCATGCCGATTTTCCCCTTCAATAGAGCTAGACCTTGAGCCATTGCCTATTAGACAGCAAGAAGTTCTGAAATATTGACGTGGAAGGAAGATTTGTCATCCGTCCATAAACACTTGGAATTCTTGACTGTTGATATACGCATCCCATCCCTGAAGTGATGCATCTGTGAAGAGATGAATCTTGGGACAAGGGGGTGGTATAGGATTACCTATTGTAGTGTTTTTCCAATCTAACTACCACTCGAGATCTAAGATGTTGCCCCTGAGTAAGGAGATTGAATGATCCAGTGGATCACAGTTAATGATCCATTGGTCGTGAGGCCACCACTGAAGGGATCACATGCACGCTCTTCCCAAAGGAATTAGAGATTTGAGGGATGCCCACAAGAGGGAGAGACATCCGTGCTGTAGGAGAAGGAGACGTGAGTAATAGCTTGACTGCCCATTCCATAGCATAGAAATTGATGGGAGTTGGCTGAGCCCGACTTAAATACGTATTGAAAAAGACATCCAGATGGACAATGTATTGAGTCAGCATGAGAATGGATTTCTCGGCTCTGAAAAAAAAAGCCAGCCTTGGTGGCTTCTGACAGGAGAATCTGGGTGTGCTGCAATGGCAACTGAAGAGATGGAGCCAGAAGTAGCCAGTTGTTCATATGATGATGTGTGCACAGGAACCAAAGAATGAAGGTGACAAGAAAAATCTCGCACAGAACTGCAGAACCTGATTCTTGTGCATGAAACATAGATAGTGGTGGGATGACTTGGTCATCCACAGACGCAGTGAAAAATGCCAATGTAGGTTGAGAAAAGACTCCATAATGAACCTGGGATGATCTAAGAATTGTTTGAGACAAGAAAGATCGATGATCGAATGCCAATCCCCCCCTCTTTTTGGCCACAACAAATAAACGGGACTAAAATTACGGAAGAACAGGTCGACTCTCTCTACTGCTCCCATGACCAACAACTCTCTGATAGCACTGAAACAAAGATGCAAACTCCACAGATCTTATGGGGGTGGAAATACCACAGGTTAGGAGGATAAAGGAGGTGGAGAATGACGAACTTAATGACGGAGCCTCTTGCCAAAACCTGGAGTACCCATGAATCTGTGGTGAAGGAATTCCAGATGTCTAGAAAACATTGTAACCATGCTCCCACAGACTCCACCGGGATATGGTAGTCACCGACACCATTGGCAATGGTCTACTCAAGCTGAGGAGCCTCTGAGATAAAGACAGAATCTATTCTAAGTACCAATAGATTGAGGAGCTGAAGCCAGTGGTCAACATACATGATGAGTAGTTGCACCATGACTTTCAGAAGGAGCCAAAGAATGTCAAAATGCCAACAACGACAAGGAAGAATGCAAAATTGTGACATTAATCCATGGTTATAATGTCTCTGAAAGGCCTGCAAACATCAAGGAATAAAGAAATGGATCCTCATATAACTTACAGAGGGCATTATCAGATAGACAAACTCCCTCCAACAAATCATCTCTACCTAGTAACTCCCAACAACATACAAGCCAGGAAACCAAAGAAAGAGTAGAAGCTGATAATCTTACCAAGGTAGAAGTCAACAAAGGACCCAATTCATCACCAAATTGATGTGGGGAATGCTGAGAGGCTTCTGATAAAATTTGGAGGGAAGATAAATATCCCAGAACAGTAGTGAGGATCAGATGAATCCGAGAAAATTGTGATCTGTTCAAAGTGATCACAGGCTCCAGTCTGGAACCTCACATGTCCAAAAGAGGAATCTTTGGGAATCTAAATATATGTTCTCCTATTGGTGGTAAGCCAAAATATGCTGTTCTAACAAACATGAGGGGCAAGGCGCAGCTATCCCATCATGTAACTGAGTGATAAACCTCCACCATCAAGGAAGGAGTAGATTCAAAGGCAACCAGGGAAAGCCCCAAAACCTCACAAACCCTACTAGAAGAAACCAAAAATCGCAACCAATGACATTAGCTATTGCAACACTTCTTTAGAGAAACCTATGTCTAAATGCTTTGTCGAGATAAAGGGATAAAATGATTTGAATGAGGTGCTTATATACAGTACCAAGATAGAAGGCGCATTCAAGTAGGTGGAGAGTATTATGAGACAAATATCACCAAGGGCAACTGAGTGGGGTATAAAAGACTGGAGCAAGTGAGAAAAAATCAGACCAATGCTTAGAACAGCAAAGATGAAACCCTGGAGGTTGAGCAATAGCTATAAGTGTCAGTGGAGGTAATTATGTTTTGGAAAAAGCCTTTATTTCCTAGCGAGCAAGAACATTTGTTTAATATTTTGACCCTACAAATATCATCAATCAGTGTCAATGTACACAGTTCGATAAATTTGCAATACTCAAACAGGGAAATAAATAGTCATTTGGAAAAAAATCTAAAACCAGGTAGACTTTGTTAATTTGCTTTATAAACATGTATTTGCATTTAATCCACATTTACACTTAGGAAGGGTGATCAACCTAGCTCTTGAAATTTAACAATTACCTAAGTTTTGTATACATGATTCTTATGTCTTAATAATACAAAATTACCAATATGTTTTGGTTGTGGAGTTGATGGTGCACTTTCTGGTGGAGGTGCAGGCACACTAAAGCTCTTAAGGGGGTGTCCAATAGGGCGTTTTCCTATGGTGTTCTCTCCACCGATGTTAGGGTGATGAGGATTGGTATATGTTGAGTGCTGTCCAGTGCCCATAGCAATTGTTATTGGTGGAGAAGAAGGAACCTGTTCATAAGTAACTGAAGAACGTGGTGAAGAAGGTGAGGTCATGCCAGCTGAGTCTGTTAGCAAAGAATGCAATGTGGATAGAAAAACTTTAATTCTAGAGGCAATAAAAACTAAGGCAGGATAGTTTAGTATTAAACTGAAAAACAAATCACATATTAATACCATAAATTTCAAGTTAGTTTTATGTATATGCTTTAATAATACCCAAGAATGTTTCCAGTAGAGAAAAATGGTAAGCAAGAAATAACGTATTTTCTTCTATTACCAAATATATAAATAGTTTTGAATATTATTTAAAAACCATAAAATGTAAAACTCATCACAATGTACACACTTTCTTCTAATCATAAATCTGTTTGGCCACATAAAAGTCTCTGTGGTAAGCATTTGACTCAACCTTAGCTTACAAGTTTACTTATATTTTCTACTACTTAAATTCCTATTCATACACTATTCTTAGATTTATCTACACAAAATTAAAACTCTGCCATTTAGAGACATAATTTATTCATCCCCTAAGATATAAAATTTTCATCTTTCCTTGTCCATTAGACTGAGCCAACAAAGGCTCAGGCCACCAATTTTTGTACCAAGAAAGCAAGAAAGGTTGCTGAAACTTGCTTCTTGTAATTGATTGGTTAATTTTAAAAATCAACTTCTATGACGACTAGTTAAATTCATATATATATATTTATTTAATGTTATAAAATTTTATCACCTGAATGAACTGAGTCAATGGTAATATGAGCTCGAGGTATATTGTACTGGGTTCGTGGATAAATAGTTCTCTTCAAGCTTGATGTTCCATCATAATGCTGATTGATATTTCCATTAGGTACAGGGGAAGCTGTGCATGTGGTAAAAGTTATTATTGTGGAAATAAACAACACAAAAATGTTTCATTAATGTTCTTTAAACACACTTCTGACAAGCCACAAAAATGTTTTAAAAATAAATTAGATTATTCTCATTAGATTGAAATTAAATGACTCATGGTAATGTAGAAAACACTTTGTCCATGTCCATATGAAATATATATGGAATAAAAATAAAAGCCTAATACATAAATAGTTCATATAGTACTAAGAGTAAAGAAGAAAACATTTGAACTGTTGAAAGTATAAAATATGCTTTCCTTATTCGAAGATTTGAATAAATAAAAAAGAAGCCTGAACATATACTCATGTGACACTGATGATAATGTGTGTTGCATGCATAAAACATCTATGATAATTTCAAAAAGCACAAGAAGCTATAAAAAAATCTGTAACACACATATGATAATGTTGATCACCAATTATAGCACTGCACATGTTATGTGTATACATAACCTGGCAATTGGAACTGGATTCTATTTTAAAAAATATCTCCAGTCTAGGGATATGTACTGATGTAACTTACCAAATGGGTCAATTAATTGAAAAAGAAAGTGCATGTTCATAAATATATAAAGGCTATTAGGATAACCATACATAATATATATATAATAAAGAAGCCACAAAAGAGGAAGTAAGTCATTCTCATCAAATACGTCTATAAAAAGGCAAGAAGAAAAATATAGAGGTTAAACAACAAACATATGATCTTTTGTAACATCAAAAAAACACAATATGAGTTATGTATGTGATAAATATATAATCTTGAAAATGATCACTAATACAATATGAAAAAATCTACACATAAGATTAAAGTTGTATATACAGAGGTTGAATACATTATAAAAAAATGATTTTGGAGCCCTTCCATGTCATTACACACTATGTCGCCATAGTTCTACAGAATAGTTTTCATTGCAAAAGGTTCCTTGTAAGGCTGTTATGTCCAAAACACACCATTCTCCCAAGTTTTCCACAATTCATCTGGTGTATGGGGATGGTGGCTTTCCAGTATCAAGTTTAATAGTCCAATCGCACAGAAATTCATAGGCACTGCATCCACTGACTTGTTTTCATATGGATAAGCAAGAATTCTCATTTTATTTTCCAGCTGCTTAAGGTATGTGACTGTTGAACAGGAGATATGACTGGAAGCCTTATCTTCATAATTCCATATCCTGTTGACCTAATTTTGAGACAGAAATTTTTCTTGATTATGTTGCGTACTATTACCTGGATATGTGAATGGATTTTGCCACTGTTCTTTGTGTTCATGTATTCTCACCTGTTACAAGACACTACACTTTGCATACCATGGTTATGGTACAGTTTGTTGCAGGTCTTTTTTTGGATGGTCCTTGTGACTAAAGTTGATCCATATGTTTTTGCTTTCTAATGCCATTAAACATAAAGGATATCCCTACCTTGGAAGTTCTAAATCTCCAATCTGAACACATCTATATGATCTGAGTGTATTAATATTTTGTGTTTAAAAGGAGTGTTACATACCTTTGCCAAAAGCAATCATTATTCAGTGGCATCATACTACCTATGAACACCAAACAAGATCAAAATGTAGTTCTGACATGTGCCATTCCATCACAATGTTATATTGCTTGTGATTGTCACTTGACTTGCTGATGTGCATATTCAAAACACTTTTTAATATAACATACTCAATATTCACTATGAAACTGTAAAAAAAATAAACAATACAGCACAAGTAAAACACTGAAACTTTTCTGTGTTCACTGTACATTGATTTTTTATGTATGTATTTTTGATAAGATTTTTGCCTTTATGTGTTATTGATAAACTTATTCAGGATTCTCTTTTATCCACAAACTGCTTGGTGTGGCAAGCTTTCTGTTTTGTTTGTTTTTTTGTTTAAGAATTGTTTTAGAGTGAAAGGTTTTATTTTGGTAGACTGATGCACTACAATTTTTGAAAAATCCAGTTAGCTATAATATTTTAACAGTAACAAGGAATCAAGGGTCCATGTTAAATGTGGAATACAATAGTCCTTAACTCTAAAACTTAACACTTTTAAGAGGGGTGATGCTGCTGAATTATCTTAATTTGTTCTAGGCTTCACACTAAAAATAATCAAACTGCACCTCATAATCAGCTCAATACACTAAAATTTATTTTTATTGTGTAAACAGACTCTAAGATACTTGAAAAAATTCAAACTTTCCTAAGAATATCCTCTTTTATACAGTTTGATAGCCACATAGTGAAAGAGTCTATGTTTCTTCTGCACATGAAGGAGATACTAATTTGTAGATAACAAATGACTTATTTTTGGGTGTTACAAATCTAAAAACATTTAGTAGTAGTAGTTTTAGTAGCATTACTATAATTAGGAACAATTAAAATATATTTATACACATATATGTGTATATAAATGAAATTAGTTTTAATATTAGGCAGAGTGTATTTACACTACACAAGGCCCGGGATGGCCAGGTGGTTACAGCACTTGACTCGCAATCTGAGGGTTGCAGGTTTGAATCCCCGTCACACCAAACATGCTCGCCCTTTCAGCTGTGGGGGCGTTATAAAGTGACGGTCAATCCCACTATTCATTGGTAAAAGAGTTGGTGGTGGGTGGTGATGACTAGCTGCCTTCCCTCTAGTCTTACACTGCTAAATTAGGGATGGCTAGCACAGATAGCCCTCATGTAGCTTTGCACAAAATTAAAAAAACAAAACAAACACTACACAATGAAATTAAATGTACTTTCAAGTGTAATGTTCCAATAAAAAAACGTCTACCTCTTTAAAGATGCAATATGTAAAATTAAGAAGTCATTTACTATTATAAACTTGTATTTCAGTCATGTGCATAGGTTCTACTACTAGGTGGCTTTTAATCTGTAGAAATTAGCACACTTTTGGAAAAGTTTAGAATTCACTAAGAATCACATCTTAGAATTTGATACAGGCATCACCAGTGAGAATTTTACCATTGTGAATCAAGATGATGATGAGCAACCCAATTACCAATTTGAGGGAGTTTGATAATTGTCTAAAGTCTAATCAATCAATAGAATTTAACAGTATTACTACCTTCAAAACTGCCTCCCAGTGGCACAGACTTACAACATTAGAAACCGGATTTCGATACTTGGGATGGGCAGAGCACAGATAGCCCATTGTGTAGCTTTGTGCCTAATTGCAAACAAACAAACCCTTCAAAACTGTAAGTTAAAAAAATCCTTAACTCACTGAGGTAGCCAATAAAAATTTTTTATGAAAAAATATTATTTTCTGAAAACTTTTATATTTAAACACAACTGACAGCCATGTTTGTGACACACACACACTACATACCAAACCATAAGAAAGTGTTATGATTCTCAACTTCCAGGTTTTTTTTTTAGAAAGCTCCATCTTAAAAGACAACATCAGACACATCAGTTGTGTTAAAGAATATGAATACAGAGGTGGTCTAAGTGTAATAAGGAAGGTTTTGGTAGTGGGAACAACTATTACAAAATATAACTTATGGTACAGTATATGAATACAGAGGTGATCTTAGTGTAATAAGGAAGGTTTTGGTAGTGGGAACAACTATTACAAAATATAACTTATGGTACAGTATATGAATACAGAGGTGATCTTAGTGTAATGAGGACAACTCTGTTAATGGGAATGACTATTATAAATTACTTATAGTTTCTGAAAATTTATTTGAACTGAAGTTTCTAGAGTGTACAACTGTTTCTATATTGTGATGATACATACAAATTATGCTCCCAGTAAGGTTTGGGGTAGAAATGAAATTGTAACAGGAGAGAGAACACTTAGTTTGTCAACGAAGATCAAATTATATATAGACATCAGAGGAGAGACACACAAAATTAGACTGAAAAAGGTAAATGCCACAAAAATTTACAACTAGACTATACATTTTCACTAGAGTAAGTGTACAAGAGTACATTGCAAATGAACTGTCAAACAATAGACAGAATAATATCTGGTAGAAAATGGACCAAGATAAAAAGAAGGAATCTCTATCTTTATAGGTTTGTGTACAAGATTTCCCAATTTAACCAGTGTTTTGAAATGCATCTATATCTGACGTGTGGCAGTGGTGATCAAGACACTTAGCTGGATGACTAAATAAGTGAAATTTGGCAATCTCTACAATCAAATCCTGATTTTAAATAAACATAGATTCTCTAAAAAATTATGAGAAACGGCAGTTAATAACTAATTATCCATACAGAAATGTAATTCAGTGTCAAGTGGATGAAGTTGTAGTATACAGATATAATATATCTAACTTTTCTATAGGTTACATTTAAAATTAGTGAACACAATTTTAAACTTTTTTAAGAGCTGTAGTTCAGAATATCTTGCATCCAGACCTCAGATGTTACTCTGTATGGCTTAAGTCAGACAAAAATAGGTTGTTCTGTTTATCTAAGTGCAAGGCTGTTTTACAGCTATTGTGGATCAGTGACTTCAGGACTCTTGCAATGTAATTTGTAATTGATCAGTTAATGAGAAAATGTGAATTGCCCAGGAAAGTTCAAAAGAAAATACACATATCATAATTATAAGAAGGAAATCTTGCTAATCCTGATAAACAGGAATGTACAAATAAATATTCATAACCTAAATCTTGGTAATGTCATTAAACATGTTGGATTTGAATAAATAATGAATCGGCACTATCCATCATGAAAGACTTGGAAAGAAGTAAATATTGAGAAAGGAGAGGATAATGATGATATACTAAGAGTTCATATCTTGAGATTACCTTTTCAAAAAAAGAAAATATTTTTTAATCCAAATGACATTTTTTTTGAAGATGTAGATAACAATAAAGGATAAACAATTTTGAAAACAGAAGAAAAACCCTAAAAAAACTTGATCACTGAAAAAGGACTGTCATCTATGGAGAGCATTTTTCAAAGATGGAAAAACAGGAATGGGAATACTTACTTAGACAAGTATGACAACCCAACTTATTATTACTTGTAATTATTATTGTAGAATTTTAGCAGCTCCTCTGGTAGAAGTTATTATGTAATTAAATTACTTTGATGTGGAACAAAGCACATTTACTAAAACCAATGAAAATATGATATTACTGATGCTATGTAACATCATTTAAATTGTTTCACTATAAGTGTGATTACATAAGACATATAACAACTTTATTATAATTTTTCTACAAGCACTGTTTAGTGCCAAACTGAGCTAATCATTTTTAAAAATTTCCTTTACACATTAAACTTGGTAAAAGTTTTGTATAGTTTACAAGCATAATTAGGATACTTCAACTGATGTGATGAACTAACAGTGAAATAATGATCTGTGAATTTTGTTTTGCTTTCATTGCTTACTGGTAACAACATGAGGAAATACATTACAAGTACACAGTATATAATCTGTTACGTCTCTGTTCGTTAGTTAATTTTCTGTAAATTCGTTCCGACAAAACATTATCGACACAAGTCCTTTCTTAAATAAAACTGGTTTATTCTTTCCGAATACAACTTTACGATACACTTAATTTCAACAGTCGCTCTATAACAAATGCTATAATTCTCAACGAACATCTCACGTGCCTAACAATATTCTCTCTGTCAGCATACATTCAATTACTCATCATCCCCGTCGCTTCGTGGCCAGTCTTATATATACAAGACTACA